GTGTATAAGAGTGCGGGACTGAGCGAGGGTTTATTTTTAAGATGAGATGTGGTATTTAAATGCAGATGGTGAAGAGACAGGAGAGGAGGGGAGTCGATGGGAASAAGTGGAAATCATCCTCATTATCATCGTTATGTTTATTGTCACCAATGAGCAATCACAGGAACGCTTGCTCTGTTCTGAGACTGCTCTGATTGATAGACCTTTCTTTACTTGGAGCCTGGTCCTTTCAGCTCTAAGTCTGACCCCTCTGGTCCCAGCCCTGTCCTGTGTTCCTTCTGCACTCCACATGGCTCTATGCTGCTTGCAACTCTCCTCTCCACCACACTAATCTCCCTGAGCCCTCGGGCCAGCACCTCCCCATTGTCCAGACCCTTGGCTGTTCTGGGGAGACTCAGAAAATACACTAAGTCTGAATTTGAAASAAATCAAAGAATTTTATTTTACCTCTATTTCCCTGGCGAGGGACACTTCTGCCATGCCCAAACAACCTTCTGATAGAAGCGCACCAGGCTGTCTGTGGYTCCAATATTTAAGGAAGAATAGCACATCCTATGAATCTGCAAATTGCAAGCAAGYAGGGTTCAAGGGCTGAAAAAAACAGTGAGCAGAGCAGAGTCAGACGACCGCATCCTGGGTTCAAGCCCAGTTGTGGTTGTACATCCTGGGTTCAAGTGCATTTGCAGATGTATGAAGCTCAGAAAACCAGTTTTTTAAATAATTCTTAAAAACAGCTTATATAACAGTTTCACAYGGGAAYCATAAAGATGGAGTCATTGGTTATACTTACTATTTTATTAGTCTCTATATTTTTAATCTATAATCTATAACTTATTAATTGTATTGATTAATTCAGACCATAACATTGACCCTCTCGGCCAAGCCCACGTGGCCACCACCGAGTTTGTGAAGACCCTCCTAAAARGTGGTGTGCTGGGGCTGGGGCTGGGGCTCAGCAGTAGAGCGCTCGCCTAGCACGTGCAAGGCCTGGGTTCAATCCTCAGCACCACATAAAAATAAATAAAATAAAGGTGTTCTGTCCAATTACAAATAAAAAATAAATATTAAAAAAAAAAGGCGGTATGCTCACTCTTTGCTTTGCTGGTGGAAGCATGAAGTGGTTCTCTGTGGTCTGACAAGGGAGCGGAGATGTAAATGTGTGCGGCGTTTGGCTAGATGTTCCTCCTCAGGAGCTAKCGCCCTGGGTGGGAGAAGATGGAGAAGATGCTTGTGTGAATGTTCCTGGTGACACGGGTGGAGGGCAGACAGTGAGCSCAGTGGTCAGGCCCTGGGCTGGGCGTGAGTTAAACAGATGTGAAAGCAATTCACCCTCAGGGCTCTCCTTTCACTTTGGAGCTACCTTTGCTCAGGAAGCCCAGGCGCTCTCAGCTACAGACAGACTTTGCTGAGAGGTACTTCTTCCCGGCCCAGCTCTGAGAACTCTCTGGTCATGCTGTCCGGGGGCCAGCTCTGCGGGTATAAGTCCGTGAGAGTCCTTCATATCCACAGTGTGTGGGTTGGGACCCTGAAGAACACCTTCCTGGTGGGCACCTGCATCTACATCTGGTGAGTCAGGCTGTGAGCCAGCCAAGGGCCACATAGCCCACCTCCCTTCACCTCCCCCTGCCTGTCACTCAGTGTCCCCCCTCTTCAGCAGGAATGGCCTATGGGAGCCCCTGGGATGGCCCTGGCTCTTCTCATGTCAGCTTTCTTCCTCGGCCAGATTCTCCCCAGCTCTCCTCTCCCCACCTCCATCTTACCCTCCTTCCAGGCCCAGTTAAATCCCCTGTCCCTCATGCCCTCTTTGTTCCAGGGACCAGAGGCTTTGCCTGCTGCAGAGAACAAGGAACCACAGCTTCTTAGAACTGAAAGGACATGGGGATTAGTGAGCCCAGAGTTATCCCCTCACTCAGGGATCAAACCCAAGGCCCAGAGAGGTGACATGGCTTATCTGAGTAACCAAGCAAGGGCAAGAGAATATGGCTGGGGCGGTCATGAGCATATTCCTTCCAAAGGGCAGAATATTGTAAACTCTCTTTCGTTCCCTCTTTTTTCCTTTGATAAAGCTCTGACACGTTTTAATTCCTAAAATTTATACATTCCTCATGATACAAAGACAGTTTTCTGATTATGAGACAGTTGGGTTCTATTAAAGCTGCACATTCTGGAATGAACACAGAGAGAGATCAGAATTGAGCTCTCCCAATGGTGGGTCAAACTGACCCAGTATTGTTCTGGGACAATATTGCAATGTCCAACTCAAAACACATCATTACATTATCATGTATGTGTTTTGGGGCTGGGGGAGATGTGTTACTGAACAAGTGTTATCTGTGTCACGTGTGCTGATTAGTCCCAAGTCTGGATCTCTAGGCCCAACATATTTTTCCCCAATATCTTCCTTCCTTTCTTTTTCTTTCATTCTTCTCATTATTAAGTTTTAGTGGTACTAGGGATTGAACCCAGGGCTTTGATCATGTCAGGCAGGCACTCTCCCATTGAGCTACATCCCCAGCCCTTGACAATTTTTCTCTCTAAATGAATGTCAGAAATTCTGGCACGTGTTGTGAATAACGTAGCTCCCATGTGCCACCATGTGATCTAAGAAATAAAACATTACCGACCCAGTTGTGCTCCCTGAAAACCCATCCATCATCCCATTCTTTCCTCTCTCCTTATAAAATCATGCTGAATGTGCTGTTTGCATTCCCTTGTTTGTTTTGATAGTTCTACAGACATATGTCAATGTCTGTAAAAATATATAGTTTTTAGCTCTTCTTTATTGAGGTAAAATTCATGTAACATAAAATTAACCATGTTAAAGTGAACAAGTCCATGGCATTTAGTATATTCACCATGTTTACAACAACATCCTCTATCTAGTACCCAAATACACTCATTGCCTTAAAAGGAAATATCATATTTATTAAGCGTTACGCCTCATTTCTCCCTCCCCTCCCCTCTGGCAAGCACCAGTCTACTCTGTCTCTGTGGATTTACCTTTTCTGAATATTTCACTTATAAACGGAATCATAGGAGATGACCTTTGTGCCTGGCTTCTTTCACTTAGGAGACAATGTTCTTGAGGTTTATCCACACTTTAGCATGTATCAGTACTACGTTCTTTTTTATGGCTGCAGAGTATTCTATTGTATCTGTAGACCGTATTTTGTCTATCCATTCATCATTTGGGTTATTTCTACCTTGTGGCTATTGTGAATAACACTGCTATGGACATTCCTGTTTGAGTATTTGTGAGTACACAGCATTGCTTTGGATTTCTTCAGGCTTTTGACCATACTGTAGCTTGCTGTGTTTGCTCGGCATTATTGTGTTACTTCCTCGTTGACCAGGCAGCTCTGGGCAGCTCACAAGTCACTGCTGCAGAGTCTCCCATTGTGAATCCAACTATTTATCAATCCACTCAATGTTTGAGAACATTCAACTATTTCCAGTTTTCTTCTCACAACGCTGCATGAATATTCTCGTACATAGTTCCGTGGACCCACGTGTGACAGCTACTCAGGGGCAGATACCTAAGATGCCGTAGCTGGGTCCTAGAAAATGCCTTTTTCCAAATGTACTTGCTGTTGCCAAGCATGGGCTGTCTTTTCAGAAGTCTCCTGGCAGGTCTGGCCCCTGGCTGTGCGTTACAGTCTCCTGAGGAACATTTAAGAAAGACACAAGTGTCTAACTAACTGCCCAGATTGTCTAAATCAGCCTCCAGGGACAGGGCTGGGAAGCTGCGATTCTGAAGCTCCTGGGTGACTTCACTGCTCAGCCGGGTTGAGAACAGCTGGGAGCGTGTCGTGGTCCACTGTGCTTTCGCTTCCCAAGGTCAGCTCAAAGAGGGCGACCCTGGACTTAGACTTATGGCCTGAGAATTGCACTCAGGGGCTGGGCAGAGAGGAGGGACAAAATAAATAGATGCTGAATGTGTAAACAAAGCATTTAAAATAAGCTCTTAATTATTCAGGGCAACAAGAGACATGGAAAACAGAAAAATGGGGATAGAATCTACCTTTTTCTTGGCAACACTGGGCATCAAACCCAGGACTTAGGCATGCTGGACAAGGGTTCCACCACTGAAGGACATCCTCAGCCCTTTTTTAAAAAATTATTATTTTGAGACAGGGTCTCGATAAGTTKCCCAGRCTGGCCTTAAACTAGCAATCCTCCTGCTTCAGCCTAGAGTTACAGGTTATAGGTGTGTGCCTCGGCACCAGACAGAACCTATGATTTTTAATTATTAATTCCACTTTTTCCCTTCACCCCCCCCACCTCCATCCTCGAAGTAGGATGGTTGGCTCTGGGCAAAATGTAGACTAATGGTGGACCTCAGTTCTGCCATGAGCTGTGTAACTCTGGGCAAGTTCCTTCACCTCTCTGAGCYGATTTACTCATCTACAAAAGAATGGTGATTGCAGTCACTATCTCTTATTGCTGTGAGAATCGAAACAGTTGATGCATTTAGAGAACTTGGCATATCTAAGTGCTTGGTAAAGAGGATCTGCTATTATCAGCATTATTGATAAAGCAGGTGGGTTCCTGAAAGCAGGTCAGGCTGCTGACCTGCCAGACACAGTCTTAGATAGGAAGGTGCTGACGTGTTACTGAGCCCAGGACAAAGGTGGTAAAGCAACCTGGAGTTGCACGTTATTACATGAGAAGCTGTCCTACTAATTTTTTAGTAGGTCTATCCTAGGTAACAGTGAAGAAGGGGTGGGGGCCACTGTTTTTTGCAGCGAGGGCCCACCACGCAGCACATGCTACACCAGGGGGTTTGCACACGTTATCTCATTTGAGTCTCACWGTGATCCCAGGAGATAGGTTTAACTATTGTTCCCATTTTGCAGAGAGGGAAAGTGAGTCACCAAGAAGCAGGACACCCCGCAGGGCTAGCATTTGAAAGGACGTGGCCTTTAGGGCTTGCATCCCAAATCATGGCCTCAGACCCCCCTGGAGAAAGCCACTGATACCTTTCTGTGTCTGCCACTTAGTTTYGCTTTGGTGAGTGACAAGCTGTACCAGCGGAAAGAGCCTGTCATCAGTTCTGTGCACACCAAGGTGAAAGGGATAGCAGAGGTGACGGCAGAAGTCATGGAGAACGGGGTGAAGCGCTCGGTGCAGAGCGTTTTTGACACTGCGGATTACACCTTCCCTTTGCAGGTGAGCATCGGCATCCCTGGAAACCATCACCAGGGCCTCGCGCCCTTCCCCTGGGACCCCCACTCCAGAAAAATGAACATTGGCCCTGTTTTAAAAGCTCTATGAAAATCCCTACTGAGAAAACCTAAAAAATTGAAAAACTGGGTCAGATCCAGCAGCTCAAAGAAGATAGTTCTTTGCTCTATCAAGTCCTATAGGGTTTCTCAAAATAGCAGCGTGTCCTGGCGCATTTCAAACATGGTCTGATTCCCTCTCGCTCRGTGTATACTGACATCTGCACGGCTCTTCAGAACCCTGGCCACCAGGCAGCAAGGTCTGCCTGCATTCTCCAGGGCAAAAAAAAAATGCCGCCTGGAGAGTGCCAGCCTTTCTGCATTGTCTCTGTGGCCTTTTGTCACCAAGGGTATGGAACATTCATACCCTTTAGACAACAAAGAAGGATGTAGGTGAGAAAGAAGAGCAGGCATGGGTCACAGGGCACAGGTACAGGAGCGTCTTGGCCGCCAGGCAGGGAGACTGAAAGCAGAGTTTCCAAAAAGGAGAAATTACAGAGGGGTGTGGGGATGCCCAGGGACAGATGGGGGACAGGAGGAACAAAAGGGCATGTTTGCAGCTGCGGGAGCCGTCAAGGCCAAGCCGCTATCTGCTTGTTTCTTAACAGTGGGTCGTTAAAATCCAGCCATCGGCCAGCTGGCAGGATGCCCTGTTGCCCTTTCATTAAAGTCTTGGAGAACTGAACAGCCTGCCCAGCTGCGCCCCCACCCCGCCCCCGCCTCCCCAGGTCTCCGGAGTCTCGGTTTAATGGGATTTTATGGTGGCAAGTAAATGAAGGGCCACTTTTGAGGCTGGATTAGAAATGACTGCTCAATCTGTTTGAATGTTCCCTTGCTCCCCCTCGGCCCAGCAGGACAGCTCCTCCAGCTTTGCTATCAAGCCCCCCGCATAGTCCATGTGCCCACGGACCCTGGTTTCTAGAAGCTTAGAGGGGTGCGCCGGGAGCTCAGCAGCAGTCTGGGTCATTGTGATCGAGCTGTTCTGTTCCCTTCTCTCCTCCTTCTGCTCTGCAGGGGAACTCCTTCTTTGTGATGACGAACTTTCTTAAGACAGAAGGCCAAGAGCAGCGGCTGTGCCCTGAGGTAAGGAGGGGACCTGTGGGGGTGGGTGATAAGAGTTCCTGGAGGAGACTGGGAGGGGAGACAAAGGGGGATGAGCCAGGATGTGTTCAGCCCACCAATGTCTACTGAGCACCTGCCTCCGTGAGGTGGGGTGGTGAGGTAGGGCGGTAGGTGGAAGAAGGTTGGAAAAGCACCGTAGGTCTCTCCCCCAGCTGCCAGATCTTTGCCGTCTCCCCTTGCCTCCAGCTGCAGTGGCCTGGAGACCTGCTCTCTCCCTTGGTAGCTTCCTGGGCATCTCAGCAACATGATTCTTGGCATTTGCAAATCTGATTTCATGTCACTGGAGCCCACAGCTTCTCCTGCCAGGGTCCACCATGAACTGTCTGCAGAGCGGGTCCCAGGAAACAGTGCCAAGCAGCTCTCGAGATGGCCCATTTCCCCCTCTTCTTAAAAGTTTCTGTTTCTGTATCAGGCCTCCCCACCCCCACCACCCCACACAATCTTCCCACCTCTGTGCTCTTGACCTTCCCCTACCTCCCTCTGGAAAATGTCCTCTCTCCAACTTCACAGTCAGAGTCTGCTCTGTCCAACGGGATGAAAGGCTAGCTCTCTTTTAGTTTGTACCCATGAATCACCCCTAGGCCTTACCTGTTCCTCCCCTCTCTGGGGACACACCTGTGCCTTACCAGGGACCATTCCCAACACTGAGGGAAGTAGCCATGGTGGCCATATCTCCACAGGCCCTCTGTCCACGGGCGGAAGAACCAGCCTGGCCATGCGGGTCCTGACCCATCCCTCTGGTCACAAGGCCTAGTTTTCTGAGTGTCCGGAAGTTCCAGTGAACATGCTCATTCCTTGTACAGTCTTTGTCACTGTGGTACCCAAACTTGGGACCAAACTGACGTACCCTTGGTGTCTATGTCAGTGATGCGCCCCCTGCAGAGACCTCTGGACATTCGTTCCCATCTCCCCGCGAGCACCCCGCTCTGAGGAATCAGCCAAAGCCAGCCCGCTTTCCTCCACCCTTCCCAGCAGCACCCAGTCTCCAGGCCAGTTGGGAGCCCTGGTTCTCCTTTGCCCTGCAGTCTGGTCACCTCTATATCACACACTCTAACCCCATGTTTTCAAAGACACTTTTCATGTCACTGAGACTTGCAAGAAGTTAAGGACAGCTCAGGGGGAACAGCYCGGGATCGATGCAGACTGGGAACAGTTCACAGCTTGACTTATTGGCCTGGTGACTGCATGGGCGACTTCACTTCTCTGTGCCTTGGTGTGTTCAGAACCTTGCTCTCAAGGTTGCTGAAACAAGTGAACAGACGCCTGTGACATGACGGTGCATTGTGGCATTCAAAATGGAGTTGTTAGGGTTTAGGGGTTCCTCTGCCGCATATGGGAGGTCACTCTGAGCAGCTCCAGGGAGGCACTGCTGGCCCAGAGAGCCCCAGAAAGCTCTCTGGGATTTTAACCAGCTGGTTCGGGTCAGTGTAATGGCACAGTCGCCTCCTCTCTTTGCACATTGACACCTACTCTATCTCTGGTCATCCCAGGGATCGTGGCCAAGCCCTGGGTGCACAGAGTCCTATATGAGTGAATGTTCCAGTTATCTCTTCAAACCACTCTGAACTTGGTAGGCTTTTCAAAGCCCTGTGTGACTCTCACAGTTCCACGGTGGCCTGGGCTCAGCCAGCAGTTCCTCTGCTGGTCTCACTTGGGGTCTGTCGAGGGGCTACACTCACCAGCAGCTGGTGCTGGCCTTCTTTGGAGGCTCTCCTGGCACCAGGGGATGGCTGGGGACCTCTTCCTCTCTGGAGGGTCTGTCCACATGCTCTCTCCAGCAGCGTAGTGACTTAACAGCAGCACTGGGTTCCCAAAGCCCAAACGCAGAAGGTTCCAGGCCCTCAGAAGGCTGAGGCTGGAGCTGGCACCGTGTTACTTGTGCTGCTTCTGCTGGTCCTGCACTCAGGTCACCCAGCTTCGGAGGGGACAGGGGAATACTCCACCTCTCAACCTAGATGGTGACCGAGAATTTGTGGCCGTCTTTAATCCACATAATATTCACAAAATAAAACTAACTTTTTTTCTTAATTTTACAGTTTATTCTGGAAAATAAAAGTGAATCAATTTATCTTCTTTCCTGAGAATTCCTTGCAGTTCATAATGGAAATGTAACTATCCGTGAGCCACAGAGGTTGATCATTCACTCATTTATTTCATGTTCATCAGACCTACTACATGTCAGGCAAAGATATGACCAGGCTTTGTGGTCCAAGGGCTCTTCTATGAAGGGGTTCATAGCCTCATGGTGGTGGGGGGTCAAAAGGAGGAGAAGCTGCGGGCCTGGAGGGTGACAGAAGGCAGCCTGGGAAGAAAAGAGAACGTGGCAGAGTTTGAAAAGCACAAGAAAAGCTCACTGAGCGGCACTTTGTGCTGAGGCCTTTCTTTGCATAACTCAATAGTCTCCACGGTGACTATGTAGACAAATCTGTCTCCCCTTACAGATGAGGTAACTGAGGCTTAGGGAGCAAGAAAGGGAGCAGCTGTCACTGAAGCCAGATGCACCTGAGTCTTTGCCTTCGATTTCTGAAGAAGCCACAAACTGCCCAGAGGTCCTCGAGCAGAGGCTGTTCCACATTTGTGTCACATTCTGGCCACTCTCAGATTGGCTGGCGCATCTGTTCCCCAGAGAGTAGAGTCAGATATGCCCAGACCAAGCCATCTTGCTTCTCCTCCTGATTGTGTCCTTCAGCCCTGAGACACAACTGACCTCATTTTCTGTGGCCAGGAGATAGTGCTGGCTGATGACCCCTGTTTCCACATCACCTGCTGCATCTTGGCACCTGTCTGTGTTGCTCAATTCTGAGCCACAGAGCCACCTGGGCCAGGCCACCTGCTCTCTACCTGCAGGGCCATTGCCAAAGGTGGCCCCCTGGCTGCTCTGACATCTGCTATTTACATTCTTATCTGTTTTTATTTTTTATTGAATCGTAATCTACGTACCATAAAGCGTACCACTTTAAAGGGAACAATTCAGTGGTTTTTATTCTCTTTGCAACACTGTACAACCATCACCACGGATTCCAGAACACTCCATCACCCCAGAGAAAAATCTCATCCTCATTTGCAGCCAGTCTGCACTCCTTCCCCCAGTGCCTGGCAGCCACCAAGCTGCTTCCTGTCCCTATGGATGTGCCTATTCTGACATTTCCTGTACATGGAATTGTATAGTTTGTGACATTTGTGTCTGGCTTCTTCCAATCAGCATCATTTTCAAGGTTTATGCATGACATAGCGTGGGTTGGTGTTTCACTCCTTACGGCTGAGTGACAGTCCACACAGGAATGTACCACATGTCATTTGACCATTCACCTCTGACGGTCACTTGGCCTGTTCACGCTCTCTGGCCTTTGTGGGCAGTGCTGCCATGAGCACTGTGTGTGGGTTTCTGTGTGGCCAGACACGAACTTCTCCATATCTCAATGACACAGTGCCCCTTCCTTCTCCCTGCAGAATCCCACTCGCAGGACACTCTGTTCCTCTGACCGGGGTTGTAAAAAGGGCTGGATGGACCCACAAAGCAAAGGTACCTTCTGGGTTTTCTCCTGGAGAACAGGGCGGGAGGGGATCTGGCACCTTGGTGACATTCACAATCCCCCATTCAGGTCCTCAGCCTCTGGCTCTACAGCCTTCTTCCACCACCACGAAGCCACAGATGGACCCGTGTCTGTCCTAGACCTTGGCCTTCTCCAAGGCTGACCAGCTACAGCCTGGGGACTGGGCTCAATTTCCCAGCCAGAGAAGCTCCTCCGAGCGTGGCCTGTCCAGGCTATGATCRGTGAAAAAATCACCTGGCCCATCACATTGTCTAAGTATTCTGAACTTTCTCCCTGAATTTTCTCAAAGGTGGAGGACTTAAACTCCCAGGGAACCTGGGGGAATAAACCTGTACTTGCCTGAAGAATCTCATGCTTTAACTTAGAAAGGTATTAGACAATGCAACAAAAAAAAAAATACTGCAAAAAATAATTTAAAAAGAAAACTGTCAATGGTAATAATGCACACCCTCCCCAGAGGCATGTGGACGTGGCTTCTATTCCATAGTGCACCGGATCTGAGTTGGTATCTGGCCACTTGCTGTGGCTTGCGGCTCACTCGATCCTCCCTCTCCTCCCCCTGCTCAGGAAGGTGCACCATGTTCATTCCATGGCTCTACACATCCCTGGGCAGGCCGTGTGCCCTGTGGGTAGGCTCAGATGCCCACTTGGGGAGCCAAGTGCTAGTCCACTGTGCCCGGCGAGAGAAGATACTGCTCAGCTCCCCTCTCGGGCATCTTTCATCGTAAAGAAGCTGAAAGGGCCAATGGAACCCAGATCTTGCTGAGCTGATTCCAGAACACTCCACCCCACAAAGAAATCTCATCCCCATTTGTGGCCAGTCTCCACTGCTTCCCCTCAGTGCCTGGCAGCCACCAAGCTGCTTCCTGTCCCTAAGGATGTGCCTGGTCCCTTCTACAGGGCTTACTGTTCAGTGTCATGCTCATCTGCTTTGTCTTGGGGTGAGGATGGGTTAGTTTTATTTTGTGAGGAGCGGAGGCTGCTGCTTGGGTGGTGTCCATGACGCCTGCCCTGGAGAATGTCCTCCATTCACATCGGAGGCTCTTCACTTCTCGACCCCACAGGGATCCAGACTGGCAGGTGTATAGTGTACAAAGAGAACCAGAAGACCTGTGAAGTCGCTGCCTGGTGTCCCACCGAGGCGGTGGAGGAGAAGCCCCCCCGGTGAGTTGCACGGATGGGGAGCAGACGAGGTGACCCTCAGCAGTGGCCAGGTGACGCCTTGCCAGGGTGCCTGGGCTTTTATTTCCCAGAGCAGCCCGCAACGCCCTGGGCCTTTCTGCCTCAGGGTCCCCAGGCCAGGCGCACTCTAGGCACAAACCACTGTCCCTGGGAAGTTGGCGCTGTTGTTGACGTGGAGAATAGTTCCGTACCTGGTGGTGCATTACCACTACCCAGAGCACCCTTCCGGACCACCTCCAGACCCCTCCTCTAGTGCCATGGCAGGGTTTGTTCTGATACACCAGTGTTCATATTGAGTGACTAAGGATAGGAAATGGAATGGGAGGAGGGAGAGAAAGAGAAGGGAGGGGAGGCAAGGAATCTTCTCAAATTAAACACTCACCTGACATACAGATTTGGTGGTTCCCTGTATTGATAGTTCTCTTTAACACACAGGTTGGGATATTAAATCTTAGAAACCACAAAGGCTGATGCATTTCAGCAGAGAATAGTTAGAAAGACCTGGATTCAAATCTTGCTTCTAGTAGCTGTGTGATCTTGGGCAAGTGGCTTAACCTTCCTGAGTGCAATCTCCTCATCTGTGAAATGAGAATAATAACTGCTCCTACCTCATGAGGTGTTTGTAAGGATTAAATGAAACAATACTTGTGCATAGTGAAGTGAGCCCCATGCCTGGCTTCCACATGCTCACATGCACACGTACGATCTACCCTGGAAGTGTGCTAGTTTCAGACCAGCACCATCCAGTAGAACTTCTGCAATGATGGGAAGGCAGTAGCCATGCTGCCCAATGTGGTAGCCACCACTTGAAGTGTGGCTATGGTGGGTAAGCAACTGGATTTTAATTAAATTTAAATTTAAATAGCACACATGCCTAGCAGCTACCCAGACCAAAGTGGCTCAGGGCCACTCTCCTAGCATGTGTGGGGCAAGGGAAAAACTGCCTAAGGGGATGTGTAGAAGGCTCAGGCCAAGGTCCCCAATGCCGAGGCAGGGCTGCCCTGTCTGGCCCACAGTTGTTAAACTGGGTTCATTTCTAGGTCAGGGAAGTTTCTTGGTCACAGAAGAAACTGCCCAGCTGTGGGTGGGACATCTTCCCACACCCAAGTGACTCTAAGTTCAAGACAAGGGGCCCCTTGCTTAGCGCTGGCTTTTAGTTCTGACTCTGCCACCAACTCATTCATCAGCTAAATACCGCGTGCGTCTCCAGCTGCCTGGCCCAAGGCTGATCTGACTGCTCTCCAGTTTCCGGTGTGCTACATGAATTAGCCAAGATGGCTCATCTTGCCATTTACCATTACCATGTAGTAGGCACTAAATATTTCACTTGTGATGATGACTGCTAARTTTTATGTGAAACACAAGAAGTTCAGGTATGGAGCAGGTCCCAGGGCTCTTTCAGTCTAAAGAAGAGATAAGACACATGCACAGAGATCTGTAATTCAAGATAGAATGTTGTAAATGTCACATGAAAGCAACAAAGAGCTTTGATCATTAAAGTTTTGGATCCTGTAGTCCTCTGATTGTCAAGAGTGCTGCTCAGAAAGTGTGAGGTTTAGAATGTTCTACAGGTAAGAGTCTAGCACACAGCAGGCATTTGTTGTAAATAAGATTTTTTTCTTTTTTTTGGTTTTGTTTTGCAGTACTGGGAATTGACCCAGGGGTGCTCTGCCACTGAACTATGCCCCTAGTCCCATTTTAAATTTTGAGACAGGGACTCACTAAGTTGCTGAGGCTAGTCTCAAACTTGCAATCTTCCTGCCTCAGCCTCCCAAATTGCTGGAATTCCAGTTGTGCACCACCATGCTTGAGAATTTTTTTTCAATGTAAATGACAGAAATCCAAATTAACTGACTTCAGAAAGAAACAAAAAGGGCATTACTTTTTGGCTTTTTTTAAAAATATTTTTTATTTGTAGTTGGACATAATATCTCTATTTTATTTATTTATTTTTATGTGGTGCTGAGGATAGAACCCAGCGCCTTGCACTGCTAGGGGAGCGCTCTACCACTGTGCCCAAACCCCAGCCCCTGGCTTTTGTTTTTGATTCCAGTAATTCAAAAACATCCAGAGGTCCTGGCTTCAGGCAAAGCTTGGTCCAGGCTTCGAATGATGTCAATGAGATTCTTTTTCCCGTTTCCTTCCTCTCCCACCCCCTCTCTTAGTTATTCTTTCTTTAATCCTGGCTTTCCTTGCATTGTGGTCCAGGGAATTCCAAGTTGACACTATCCTTATTACTAACAGTCCAGCAAAAAAAGAGTTTCTCTTTTCCAGTTGTTCCCAGAAATGGTTCTCTTTGGCTTAAATCATGTGACCATCTCTGAACCAACCCGATGGCCAAGGGGAACAGACCACACTGTTTAGCCAGCCCTGGGTCACATGCCCATGCAGAAGTGTAGGAATAGACAGGAAGTAATCATCCCCACAGACCCTTCTGGATGGCAGAGGAGAGCTGGCTTCTCCAAAGAGAGAAAACTGAGCTTGTACCATCCAAAGGGGAGTAGATGCTGGACAGGCAAAAAGATGGGGTTTGCACACAGAGCTCCCACACACACAATCAACACTGGGTCCTGGGGTAAAAGGCAGGCCATTCTTGGTGCCCTGCCTTTGCCCCTTCCTGTGCTACTCAGACACGGCCGGCAGCAGGGTGCCAGCTGAGCCTTTCTATTCACAGCCAGTGTTCTCCATCTTTCATAAACTATCAAGTGCAAAAGGGCAGAAACGTTGACAGTTGCTCATCACTGTATCCCACTGCCCAGTTCCAAGCCCAATACCACAAGCGTTTGCTGAATGGAGGGATGGAAGGATGGTGGGTGGCTTCCTGTCATCTGGAATTTGGGCTCCTCTAACTCACAGAATTGTACACTATTCGGCCTCTAAGAAATGACTAATGCAGTCAGCTGTCTGTCTGTCTGTGTGGCCCTGGTCTAAAGGCTGAGGATGCCGGGATTAGAAAACTGTTGTGCCAGCCCTGAAGGAACTCTAGGCCTACTAGGAGAGCCACAGATAGGGGTGTGCTGGAGCTGGCTGGTAGGTTCACAGCCAATTATGCTCAGCCCATCCCAAATTCAAGTTTGTGATATCCCTTTGGTAGTTGGAAACCAGCCATGGTAGGAGTATTTATAGCATGATAATCAGCAAACACATATTAGCCCTTTTTTTCTCCTTAGAGTGATGGATGTCAAACATTTACCAAAACACCACTGCACGTTACTAAATATACAATTATATCAGAGTGACAGAAGGAACACCGTAAATGCTATGGGGTCTCAAGAAGGAAGAAATTCTTGGAGAAACTGAAAGTCTTCATAGAGAATTTTGGAAGGTTTTCTCTATTAGATTGCTGCATCCATTTTTCTTATCTCATCCCCAAGGCTAAAGCAGAAAACCAGAAGTCCCTGGTCTCACTGACACACTGGCGCCCCCTGTCTCTGTGGTCACTCATTCTTATTTCTCTCTCCCAGGCCTGCACTTCTGAGCAGCGCTGAAAACTTCACTGTGCTCATCAAGAACAATATTGACTTCCCTGGCCACAACTATACCACGTAAGTGCCCAGAATGTGTGGTATAGCAGTTACCTACCTACAGCTGTGTAAAAAAGAAACATTCTAGGGCTGGAGTTGTACCTCAGTGATGGAGTGCTTGCCTAGCATGTGTGAAGCACTGGGTTCGATCCTCAGCACGATCCTTTATTCATAAATAAAATAAAGGTATTGTGTCCATCTACAACTAAAAATACTAAAAAAAAAAGAAACCTTCTAAAATGACAAATACTTATTGTCTCTCATTCTGTGGATCAGGAATCTGAAAATGTATTTGCTGGGTGGATCTGGTTCAGGTCCTGGTCTCCTTGGTTAAATTCAGTCTGTCACAAGGCTGCAGTCATCTCTAGGCTCCACTGGGGCTGAAGATTCCCTTCTAGGCTCACTGATATGGTTATTGACAGCAGGCCTCTGTTCCTTACCAAGAGGATCTGACCCTAGGATCACATGTGTTTCCTTAGGACATGGTGGCTAGCAAGCAATTCAGGAGAGTAGTGGCTAGGCATGGTGGTGCACACCTGTAATCCTAGCAGCTCTGGAGGCTGAGTCAGGAGAATCTCAAGTTCAAAGCCAGCCTCAGTCATGGCAAAGCACTAAGTGAGACCCTGTCTCTAAATAAAATCAAATAGGGCTGGGATGTGGCTCGGTGGTCAAGTGCCCCTGAGTTCAATCCCTGGTACCAAAAAAATTWAAAAAAGAGAGAGAGAGAGAGAATAAGTGAAAAAGCAAGTAACTAAGATGGAAGCCACAGTCTTCGGAAGTGGCTTCTGCCATATGCTATTGGTCAGAAAGCCCAAACTTGATACAGTGTGTGGGGCACTTCACAGGGTTCCCAGGAGTAGGGGTCATGAAGCCCTCTGTGGAGCCTGGCAGCCACACTGGCTCATTCCAATGAGATGGATCAGTTTCCTAGAAATGTCTGTTTGCTTTCAATTTTGCACAGGAGAAACATCTTGCCAGGGTTGAACATCAGTTGTACCTTTCACAAGACTCAAAATCCACAATGTCCCATTTTCCGGCTAGGAGACATCTTCCAGGAAACCGGAGATAATTTTTCGGAGGTGGCAATCCAGGTGGGTGGACTTGTCTTTGTTCAGTGGAGATGAGTGTCAGAGGATGAAAGATGTCAAGAGATGAGCCTGGGGTTGTGGCTCAGTGCCGGCTGCTCACCTTGTGCGGGCTGGGTTTGATCCTCAGCACCACATAGAGAATACATGGATAAAATGGAGTTATTGTGTCCATCTACAACTTAAAAAAAAAAAGTTAACGGGGAAAAAAAAAAGATATCAAGAGTTCAGACCCCTGGGCCTAAAAAATATGGCTCAGTTTATTGTGTATTTGCCAAAGGCTGCATCTACATCACTTCGGTCATCTAACACTCAACGCTGGGAGGGAGCTGCTTAGTGTTAGCTCTCTGTAGCTGCTGTAACAAATTACCACAAACTGGATGGCTTAAAACAACACACACTTTCTTCTCTGTCTGGAGGTCTGAAGTCCAAAATCATTTTTGCTGATATGAAGTGGAGGTGTCTGCAGGGCCATGCTCCCCCTGGAGGCTCTGGGGAGAAGCACGTCCTCGCCTTTCCCTCTTCTAGGGACTTCCTGCCTTGTGTTTCTTGGTTCTCACTCCCTCCCCCCATCTTCAGAGCCAGCAGTGAGGCACCTTGCTTCAGAGGTCATGCTGGCTCCTTATTCCCTCTCCTTTCACAAAACACTAATCTTCATGAGAGGGAGCATGTATAAGATGAGGCGTTTATGGCCCCCCCCCCAGGGGTCCAGGATCATCTCCCTAGCTCAAGACCTTAATTTGCTCACACTGCCAGAAGCTTCCTCTAGGGATCATGGAGAGAGAATGCAGAAGAGATTTTTGGTAGAGTGCCCTGAATTCCAGTCTGACAAGTTCGTTTTGCTTTGTTTGGTGGGGGAGGTTTACTGGGGATTTAACCCAGGGCACTTTACCAAGGAGCTACAACCCCTTTTTAAATTTTTTTAAAAAWTTTTAAGACAGTGTCTTGCTAAGTTTCTGAGGGTCTCACCAAATTGCTGAGGCTGGCCTCAAACATAGAATTTTCCTATCTCAGGCTCCCAAGTGTCTGGGATTACAGGCTTCTGCCACTGTTACCAGATTCAACTTTATTTTTAATAGGGGGTGGGGGTCATTAAAGGTGTTTGAGTGCAGGAAAGGTTTGTTTAAAGTTGTATTTTAGGACTAAGTCTAAGGGTGGCGTGTCCTGGATAGGAGGAAGAACAGGGAGATGCCTTTGGGACTGTCCTAGTAATCTAGCTCACCTTTATGGCTTGGAAACCTTTAATCTGCATTTTCCCTTTAAAGAAAAAACCTTTCCTGCAGCGCTGATCCCTGAGCAGGGAGATGTCTAGTGATTGCTTAACCTACCTCCAGCCAACTTAGAGACTGCCTCTTGTTGACTTCCCCAGGGAGGGATCATGGGCATTGAGATCTACTGGGACTGCAACCTGGACAGCTGGTCCCATCGCTGCCGGCCCAAATACAGTTTCCGTCGCCTTGATGACAAGACCACCAATGAGTCCCTGTACCCTGGCTACAACTTCAGGTAACAGGRCTTCAGGTCAGACTCTCAGTAGCTGGCCCCAGGGAGCTTCTGGGTGGGGCTGAGCTGCATCCCAGCAGTCAGTCCAGTAGAGCTGGGCATGAAGTACACTCTTTGTAAATCAAACACAAAGTTGGGAGACAGAGAAAGGGTGAATTTTCCTTGGTCTGTACCAGTTCTTCCATGAGGCTCATAAGAGATCATGRCACACATATACTTTGGTATTCTGTGAGATTTTGTTATTCTTATAATTATTTTTACACCTAGGACACTTCAGATTCTTTGTGGCCATCACACTGACGATCACAACATTCCATGTGTGGTGTACTGACAACATTTCTGCAGCTTAGGAAGGGTCTTGTACAAACCAGGCACTCACCAGCACCTCCCCACCCCTTCCCCGTGGGGGGAAGCCAGGAAAGGTTAAATGATCTGCCCAGGGCCCTCAACTAAGAACCATACATCTAGGCCAGGTCACCTTATCTCCAAACTAACGCTCCTTCCCACTTATCTCCTGACTTTCTCATCCATTCCTCTACCACTGAACATTTGGCTATTTTTACTCTTTTTATTTTAAATAACTTTATGTGGACAACTTTGCACAAAAATCTTTATTTGAATTCCAGATTATCTCTTTAGGTAAATTTCTAGAAGCAGAATACTTGGGTCGAAGGTTATGAACATTTTATCATATACTTTTAGATTTTTGAAAATTTCTATGGCTGTATTTTTAGTTCTAGGATTTTTATTTTATTTTTTTCAAAGTCACCTGCTTCAGTGAGTTCCATTCCTACCTGTAGATGACTCTTTTTGCCCATTCTGTTGTCTAATTCCTCTCGCATGGGCCTGTCCTCTGAAGGAACTTGGGTGGATTTCTCCCTGTGGATTTTGGGATCTTTCCTGGGAGCTTGTCTTCAGCAGGGATGGCCTCAGGACATTCCTCTGGAGCCATAACTGTCATTTTGTAGTTGTTGCTGTTGGGACTACATGGCAATTATCAACTGTGAGCCAGTTTTTAATTTAATATCTGGGCTTGAGATCTTTCACTCTACTAAAAGATCAGATTCCTGCTCCCTTAATGTGAGAGCCTTCAGCAGCTCCAGTGCCCTTCCCTCTAACTGTGTTCAAATCTAGCTCCTGGGAGTTGGATCAGGTTCAGCTGCTCATAAGGGTCACATGACTTCAATCCCCACTCACTACCATGTTGAGCAACTGAAAAAGTGTCCTTTTTTGTTTTAAGCACCATAATGATTGGTATTTTAATTTCTCCTGTGCTGCAGATTGAACCCAGGACCTTGTATGTGCTACGCAAGTTTTCTACCATTGAGCTGCACTCCAGATATTTTATCTTGCACTTTCATGTATATGAGGAGGGTGGTGAGGCTTCTTATACAGCTGGCTCCTTGGTGTACAGTGGGGTTGTGTCCTGATAAACCCATTGTAAGTTGAAARTATCATAGATTGAAAATGCATTGAATATGTACTTAACCAACCAAGTAGCCTAGCTTAGAAATGCAGTACACAGTAGACTATAGGTTGTTTTCCCTCATGACAGTGATGGGGACTCAATGCCACGGCCCAGCACTGAGAGAGTATCTCACTGGCCCAGAACAAGATCCAAATCCCAAATCCAATATGGTTTCTACAGAACACATATGGTTTTCACACCATCATAAAGTCAAAAATTCATAAGTGTAACCATTGTAAGCTCAGGCCTCCATCTTGATCGGAAGTCCCTTTTGCATAGTGATGGAGGCTGAATCCAGGGCCTCATCCAGGCTAGGTGGGAACACTTTGAAGCCTTGATGTCATGGGCCACATCTAATCCTCATGTGTGGTGTTTTGAAGTTTCTTGGAGGGCCTGGTGTGTGTGCCTCTGGCTTCTGGACTTCAACCCTATGAACTCACCCACGGTCTGGTTCCTTTGCACTCCCATGCCCTCCTGCCCCCATGGTGTGACTCGGGCCTGTTTGGATCCTCTACACAGCTCCTGATGCCCCTGCTCCTGACTCTTTCCTGGTAGTGAGCCAGTGCCATCCTAACTTAGTTTCCATCTTACCTCCTGTCTGGATCATCTTTTCAGCCTGGTCCCTACAACTCTGTTAGTAACTTGGCCCTAACATGGTCTCCATGCCCTATCACTGCCTGTGAGGTGAGACCCTGTTTCAAGGAAAAAAAAAAAAAAAAAGGAACAAACTACTGGAACATGCTACAATATGGATGAATCATTCCCACCGACATTGAGTGAAAGAAACTAGACTAAATAAGCACATACTTTGTGTCATTTAGATGAAGTTGAAGAAAAGGTAAACTCCATCAATGACGATAGAAGATAGAATAGCAGTTGCTGTGCTGGGGGGCTGCAAGCTGTAGGACTTGGCGTGAAAGGAATATAAGAGAGTTTTATGGGACAAGGGAATGTTCTGGGATAATGGAATTTTGATAGGGATACAGATTATAGAGGACACTTGTTTGTCAAGATTTTTTTTTTTTTGGCAGTACTGGGATTGAACTCATTTGTCAACACTCATTAAACAGAACCCTTAGGGCTTATGCATTTTCCTGTATGTAAATTAGGTCTCGATAGAACAGGTGGACAAATCCAACTAGACCATTTCTGGCAAATGCCATCAAGAAAATCAAACAAGACAGTGTGATGGGGCACAGTGACCAGGGAAGACCCCTCCAAGCAGGGTGGGTAGGGCCCTATGGCATCTTTCCCTTTCTTGAGGACTGTRCTTTCCTAGTGACAAAGACAAACTGTACAGATAAGAACTCAGGTTCTGGGAAGCAACTTGGAAAACATGTTAGCATTCAAGAATCAGCTCTCAAAAAGTGTGGCTCAGGCTCAGCATCCCATGGAACTCAGAAATGCACGTTCTTAGGCCCACCCTGATCTATAGAAACAGTCTAGGGGTGGTGCCCAGTGATCTGCATCTTCATGTCTCCATAGGAATCTGCTGCTCATTTGAGTTTGAGAACCATTGATCTAGACCTGGGTCCTCAAAGTGTGGGGTCCTGGAACCAGTGTCATGGGCCTCAGTTGGGAGCTTGTTGTACTGAAGATCATCACAGGGACCCCCCCTCACCCAACTCAATGAGTGAAAATTTGCACTTGAAGAAGATCCTTAGGAAATTCGTGTGCATATCAAGGTTTGAGAACTGCTAATATCATCTAGCATCCCAAATGTACTTTCTTCTTAGATGCTTCACCTGACAACATTCTGGCTCTGGCTCTGTAGGTAGGGTGCGAACTTCTTGAGAAAATGAATAAGATGCCTAGTTTATCTGTACCTGCATGTACAGGCGTGTGTGCACACATGTCCCCTCGCTGCCTCTGAACCCCCCTCCTGGCATATTCACTGACTTTGGAGGGGTCAAGTAATGAGATCTCTTCATATTTTATTCAAAGCAGCATCATGAACCAGCAGGCAGCCTTTGACGGTGTTTTCACCGTACACCTTTGGTGTACTTGTTTTAGCCTGGCAGTATCTTTTTTTTTTAATGTTTATTTTTAAAAATTTTTTTAGGTGGACACAATATCTCTATTTTATTTTTATGTGGTGCTGAGGATCGAACCCAATGCCTCATGCATGGCAGGCGAGTGCACTAACACTTGAGCCATATCCCGAGCCCCCTGGCAATATCTTAAAGCTTGAGAATACATAAACTTTAAAATTTGTAGAATATAGAAAAATCAAGACTTCCTGCCTTTCCTAAAAAATTAAACTATTTGAGAAAACAAAATGTGAACCCTGAGTCCATTTTCACCTGACAAGCCATGGCTGGAGCTGAGTGTCGGTCCCTCTAGGAAGTGCATGTATTTTGGGGGATGTCACTGCCTCCTTGTGCTTCTGGCCTCTTATCTTCATGGTCCCTGTGGGCATTTGAGTTCAAGTTCTAAGAGGTTGACTAATGCTTTCTGCCTCCTCTGGGTCAATGGAGTTTCAGCCACGGCCCTGAAAACAGCTCCTAGTTTAGGTAATTTTTGGATCATCCCCTGCTGCTCTGCTAAATGGGCTTATTGCAATTAGCAAGAAGAGAGGACAGGATCAGCGGTCCCCTGGCTGCCCTTCCAGGCTGTATTCTTCACAGTCAGCAGAAGCATGCAAAGCCACGTACCAACCAGACGTCAGCAAATGTCCTCCGAGTCTCTGAGCTAAGCCTAAGAACATCAGCTCCTGGTGGGATGTGAGCTTTCTGAAGCCCCAAGGGGGTTTTGACATTGGTTTTCTTTTAGAACAAAGCATTAGCACATTTGTTGCCTGGAATGAGCACCAAAAGAAATCTTTGGCCAAAAATAAATTGTTGAGATCTGATGGGTAAAAGGAAAAGTTATTTTCAAATATCCATACAAAAGAGAAGGAAATTACATGTTAAATGAGAAAAATGTAACTTTCTAAAACAGAAAGTTAAAGAAGTAAAACAAAATGCAGAATTTTATATTCAACAAAAAGATTCACTGTCAAATATCCGTATTCAGTGAACATGTGATTTAGTTGATTTTCAAAAAGTGTAAACTAGGACAGGCCCACACTGAATGCATGACACACTTGTCAGATCTAAAACAGTTTGTGTATGTATTAGTATTGTGTGGCTGCTAAGACAAATTGCCACAAATATAATAGACATATATTCTCTCACAGACACCAGAAGTCAGAAATCGGGTGTCAATAGGGCCATAATCCCTCTGAAAGCTCATGGGGAGAATCTTTTTTGCATCTTATAGCTTCTGGTGGCTTAGGCTTCCCTTACCTTGTACTGCATCACCTCAAGCTCTGCCTCCATCTCCACATGGTTTTCTCCTTTGTATCTGTATGTACTTATTTCATAAGGACTCCAAACATTGGTTTAGGGCCTACCTTAAATCCAGGATAATCTCATTTTGAGATCCTTAACTTAATTGCATCTGCAAAGACCCTATTTCCAAATAATATATATACATAGATCCTGAGGTTTAGGGACTTGAACTTTGGGGGGGGTGGAAGGCCAGTACTGGGGGTTGAACCCAAAATCTCATACATCCAAAGCAAGTGCTTTACCACTGAGCTGCAGTTCCAGCCCTTGTTATTTTTGAGACAGGGTATCACTAAATTGCCTATCCTGGCTTTGAACTTACATTCCTCCTGCCTCAGTCTCCTGACTAGCTGGGATTACAGGCCGGCACTACTGAGCCAGTATTCATCCATCATGATGTGCACAACAGCACTCCGTCCAGTTCCAGTGATGCTCACAGTGTGGAAACATCTTGCACCTTCTGAAACCACACTTTGGGGTTCAAGCCCAGGAGTTTTCCTTTTGGCCACATCTCCCCACATGACTCTCACTCCCAGTCTTAGAACCACTGCACCAAGACACTGAAAGCAGATATTCCAGTACCTACTCTACGATGCTAACTTCTTAGGTAAACCAGCCTGCATAGGGCCCTAATGCCAGCCCTAGGGTCTGGAGTGGTGATTCAGACTTAGCTTGAGTATTTAAAAAATGAATCACGCAATAGAGAAGGAAGAACTGTCTTGGAATGGCACAATAGATGCAAGGAAACTGAAACCCCTCCAGCCAGAAACAGGCATGGAGGTAAGTGCCTGAGAATGCCTAACTGGTCTCGACATCAGATTTTGAGACCTCTAAATAAAGTTTCAGGTGTTTGCACTCTATTTTGGCAGAGCATCTGTCTTCTGTTTTTTTCTCTCCCTACACTTGTAAGTAGATTGTGAATTAGTAATTCAGAAAGAAAATACATACCCTTATGTAAAAATAACCAGCACAATGTGGTGAGAGGGAGGGACACATTTAAAAGTTTCCTGAGGCATTTATTTAAGTGTTCCTGATTACTTACAAAAAAATAAAACCTAGTGCTTTTCCTGACTACAGCCCTAATGAGAGCTTTACATTTGGAGTGACTGTGATTTGTGCCAGGCCCTAATTTATGAAGGTGACTGAGTGATGACGTAGAAAGGTCAATGCTGCTGAGAGAACTCAGTGCTGCATTTCTCAAGAGGCAGGAGCAGGCCATGCCACACAGGGTCTTGGGGGAAGCTTTGATCCAGAGCGGGTCAAAGGGAAGCAAGGCACAGAAATGCACCCTGGGAAAGGTGGGAAGGGCTGGGAACAGCTGTGCTGACCCTTCCTGGGTGACTGAGGGCATGAGAAAAACAAACACAGAATCCAAGAAAATACAGGAGGACAGAGTGCTGAAGTAAACCTGTTCTCAATCCAGTAATGAGTGTCTAAAATTCACCACTCCTCCTCCATGTTTTCTCTAGAAGCTGAAACTATTTTTCTTTCTTAAGCAATAATCACATCGCTTGAAGTTATTTTTTAATTTCTCAGTTTATTGCTAATCCTGAATTGGTTAAAAATGTGTTCATTTTAATCTTAAATTAAAAGCCAATTTCCTGTCACTCTGAGGTGATGGAAGCAGAGCAGATAACCTGGGGGTGCTCTGTGGTCTGGGTATTCAGAGAGTATAATTCTCTCTGAATTGTGCTCTCCCTCTGCCAGCTGCATCAGACCTAGAAGGCATACAAGGAAGACTGGATTGGCTACTGGTTTGGTTTTTCTTTCCATAGAATTCCAGCACTTTCAAAGAGATCTTTGTAAACATGGATTCTTTTTTTCCTGCAGATACGCCAAGTACTATAAGGAAAACAATGTTGAGAAACGAACTTTGATAAAAGTCTTTGGGATCCGTTTTGACATCCTGGTTTTTGGCACTGTAAGTCTGTCTTTTCCAGCCCTGGGCACCTTCATCCTATGACTGTGTCCCAATTATTGCTGTTGTGGCTCCAGGGAGTGAACCTTTTTGAGTCACAGCCATTAGCTAGTGCTGTGCATTTTGCTTGTGGGATAAGAGAAGGGGAAGAAATGTCCTTAGGGTTCTATCCACAAATGAGCCATCTGGAGGGTACAGAATGGGACTGGGAAAAAAATTGTTAAGAGTCAACAAGAAACAAAGATAAGAGAGAAAGGGATATAGAAAAAGGAAAGGAGGAAAAGAGAAAGGGAGGGAGGGATAGAGGGATGAAGGAAGTAAGGAAGGAAGGACCCCTTCAAAATAGTTTATAGTAATAGAATCCAACTCAAATGGCCTTAGGGGAAACTTTGTTTTGGTTTGTTTTTATTCATAAACTGAAAGTCCAGGGGTATTGCAGGCTTCAGATATGGCTGGATCCCGGTATTTGAACAAGATCTTCAGGAATCTGTCTCCCTTTGTCTCTTATTAAAATCTGTTCTCCTGTCTGGGCATTGTTCTCAGGCTGGCCATCTCTATGTGGTGGTGTCAGGTAGTCCTGTTGTCTTACTAGTTTAGCAACCTCAGGGAAAAAAGAACACACTTTCCCAGGAGTTTCAGGAAAGGATTCAGGCAGCAGCCAATGGTTCTGACTGGCTCAGTATGGGCCACATACCAGTTGCTACCCTAATCACTGTGATCAGATTCTGCCATGCTCTCAATGGCTGGTCTTGAATGAGCCTTGACCAGCCTAGGATCCAGAGGAGAGGGCCCATATGGAGAAAAATGGTTGTCCAACAGAAAACTGAGGTGCTGGCTCCAGAAGAAGGAGGGAGAGAGTGCTGGATATGAAGAGTCAGCAGGTCACCCCAGCACCCTGCTCCACAGCATATGGCTTATGTAACATGGGTTCTTGAACCACAAGAATAAGATAGAGCTGAGAGGATGAAAGGCTATTGAAAATGGAGACCACAAGGACACTGCCAGGAAGAGTCAGAGTTTCTGCAGACATTTCTTTCCTTCTGCTCCTGAAGTCACCTCACACTACTTCTAGGGAAGGCTTGTCTGAAATTCTCAACTTGTATGGTCAACAACAAGCCTTCAGTGGTTGAATGTATTAGCTTAAAACATCCATGGTCCGGGAAGAGCCTGGACAGCAGAAACAGGAAAACAGAATCACACTCCCCGTCTGCACTCTGCTGCGTGAGCACATGGGTGCATCTAGAACCCACGACTGCAGGTGACAGCAAGAGAGCTCTGGATCTCAGCTGAGTAACATCCTCACTCTGTTTCCAGGGAGGAAAATTTGACATTATCCAGCTGGTCGTGTACATTGGATCCACCCTCTCCTACTTTGGTTTGGTAAGAGATTCTCTTTCCCACACTTTAAGAAAATGGTTTGGCCAAAAGAAGTTTCACTACCCTGGTGCTTGTCTGGGTTCCCGCCAGGCCACTGTGTTCATTGACTTTCTCATCAACACTTACTCGAGCACCTTCTGCCGGTCCCGTGTGTACCCCTGTTGCAAGTGCTGCGAACCCTGCGCGGTCAACGAGTACTACTACAGGAAGAAGTGTGAGTCCATCGTGGAGCCAAAGCCGGTGAGGCATGCCATGTTTAGGGGATGCCAAGGTCCCCAGAGGTTCTTCTAGGTGGCTAAGAATGCATAACAATTCAGCCTAAATCACAGGTTTAATCCCATGGTGGTAAGTCCTTGGACTACCCCAGTGACTATTTCTCTGATGGATCTTTGGGTCCCAGGGAAGAATAGGAACAAAAACAGAGAAGCTAGGAGGTGAAGATAAATTTTTATGGTCCAGGATTTGTCAATTTTGTCATTTATTAAATTGGTGCAGTCCCTACAAAATAGCATAGTGACTTTGGAGAACAACGTGGCTGTGACTGGTAACTTTTAAATGAGACATACATTATAGCTGGGGACTTCTACTTCCTCCTCCCCACCCCCAAAGAAGCCCTCACATGAGTGCCCAAGGTGTCCACAGCAGCACATACCAGTTTGTGGCCACATACCAGTTGTTGACCTAATCACTGTGATCAGATTCTGCCATACTCTCAATGGCTGGTTTTGAATGAGCCTTGACCCAGCTATTAATAATCAATATTAATATTAGCCACAAAGAAACAGCATCCACCCAGATGTCCACAGGGTGAACAGTGAAAGAGACTATGATAAACCCAAAGTAATGCCAGGGACATGCTTAAAAGAATGAGGTGACAGTTACAACAGCAGACATTTATATAGCACTAATAAGTGCTGGGTATACATTAGCCCATTCGACCTTCACAGCTACCCTATAATGTAGGCATCACTGTTATCCCTTTGTATTTRTGAGGAAACTAAGGCACAGAAAGGTCAGAGAATTTGCTCAAAGTCCTTCAGCTAGTGAGTGGTGGACAGGAAATTCCAGCTTAGGCAGGCTGGCCTCAGAACGTATACCTGATCTGCGAAGTTACAGCTACTGGCAAGAGCAGACAGGATACTTAGTTGAGAGGGGGAAAAAAGCAAATGGAAGAACAATATGTGTGGTATGATATGTGTGTTAAAAACAGCAGATACACACATAAACTAATCCACATGTTCTCCATGTATTCCCTCATATTTATTACACGTTTATTTTATATACAAACATATAATCACATATGGGTGTGGACATATGTATATATACAAAAAGGTACTATGGCACACACGAAAGTGGTCATGGTGGATGCTTCTGGAAGAGAGCCTAGGACTGGAGTATAGACACAGGGGATTTCAGCCTCAGCTATATTATTTGATTTGGTTAATCTGGACTTTATGATGCAGGTTTGCTAAATTCAACTTCATGATTTCCCCCTAAAGAGAAATCTTGTACCTAAAAACAAAAGGAAAGAGGGTTCCTTTGTTTTTCCCCCATCCAAGAACACTGCTGTCTTTTTCCAGCAGCTGAGTGCACAACTTATTGTCCATTATACATGTGCCCACGACTGAAATGCAAGTTCACTCTTTTTTTTTTTGTAAGATTCTCTTTTATTAGTTATAAAATTGATTAAGCTATGCCTAATTTAAATGCATTTAAGAAGACAAATTTTGGTACAAAAGCATGCATAAGCAGAAGATTTTGTAAAGGCAATTGTATTTTACTTGCTAAGCCTGTCTATTTTATTTTATTTTATTTTTTTATTGTTGGTCGTTCAAAACATTACATAGTTCTTAATACATCATATTTCACAGTTTGATTCAAGTGGGTTATGAACTCCCAATTTTACCCCRTATACAGATTGCTGTATCACATCAGTTACCCTTCCATTGATTGACAAATTGCCTTTCTAGTGTCTGATGTATTCTGCTGTCTGTCCTATTCTCTACTATCCCCCCTCCCCTCCCCTCCCCTCCCCTTTTCTCTCTCTACCCCTTCTACTGTAAATCATTTCTTCGATTTGTATTATCTTGTCTTACCCCTCCTTTCCTCTTATATGTCATTTTGTATAACCCTGAGGATCGCCTTCCATTTCCATGCGGTTTCCCTTCTCACTCCCTTTCCCTCCCACCTCTCATTCCTGTTTAATGTAAATCTTCTTCTCAAACTTTCGTCCCTACCCTGTCCTTGTTTACTCCCCTTATATCAAAGGGGTCATTTGGTATTTATTTTTTAAAGATTGACTAGCTTCACTTAGCATAATCTGCTCTAATGCCATCCATTTCCCTCCAAATTCTATGATTTTGTCATTTTTTAATGCAGAGTAATACTCCATTGTGTATAAATGCCACATTTTTTTTATCCATTCATCTATTGAAGGGCATCTAGGCTGATTCCACAATCTTGCTATCGTGAATTGTGCTGCTATGAACATCGATGTAGCAGTGTCCCTGTAGCATGCTCTTATTAGGTCTTTAGGGAATAGACCGAGAAGGGGAATAGCTGGGTCAAATGGTGGTTCCATTCCCAGCTTTCCAAGAAATCTCCATACTGCTTTCCAAATTGGCTGCACGCAAGTTCACTCTTGCAACTAAAAATAATTGCCATTTCATTATCTGAGATGATATGAAATTTCACAAACATATAAACAATTTAAGTTGCAGTATCAGAACTTCCTGGAGATACTGAATCTAGAGTAGCCACACCTGACAGAACACCACATAGGAATGTTACCTGGTGTTCAGGGAAGCTAAACACTGGGCAGTAGGAGGTGTATGGGCTGAGTTTACATGTTAAGGTGCAAGGGGTTCCAATTCTGATTTGCCTCTAGACTCAGAACTCATTCCTTCTTGCTCAACAAGAGTTTGGGGTTAGCATGTTCAACAGTTTGTCATTTGGTAAATGGGAACAACTGCCTTTAAATATGTTTAGATAGGCAATTCTTCTTCATTTTTTTTGATAGGCAATTCTTGATAATTCTTTACATAAATGGGTAAACTTCTTAACCTTCTTTTCCTAGACATTAAAGTATGTGTCCTTTGTGGATGAACCCCACATTCGGATGATAGACAAGCAGCTACTTGGGAAAAGTCTACAACATGTCAAGGGCCAAGAAGTCCCAGTAAGTTAAAAGATTTAGTCCTTTTTCTTTTTCTTTTTTTTTTTAAGAAAATTTACTTTTAAATATAAACACATCTAGAAATCTGTATGAATTTTAACAATTAAACCTATTCATGTAACCAGCATCCAGATTAAAAAATTTAATATTCTCGAGTTAGAGGTATAATTAAGCTGTAGAGCTCTTAGCTAGTATGCACAAGGTCCTGGGCTCAGTCTCCAGCTGGGGAATGATATTGGCCAAATAATATTGTAATACTGTTTGCATATACGAATATGTAACCATGAATTCCACCATTATGTACCAATAAAAATATGGAAAAATAAATAAAAATTGGTCCTTTACCCATTTAAAAAAAAACGTATTTCTAGGAGAAGTCCCTTTTATGCCCTTACCTAATCACTACCCTCCCTAAAAATAGTCATTATCCTGTATCCAAAAATTAGTTTTTCCTGTTGCAGAATTTTATAAAAATTGAAATATAGTTAAGTACTCAGCATCTACTCTGTTCAATGTCTGGCTCCTTTCACTCAACATTATTTTTGTGAGTTATCCATGACCCCGCACAGGGCCCCCCTGGATCTCACCGTTGTATAATTTTTATTTTTTTTAATATTTTATTTATTTATTTTTATGTGGTGCTGAGGATTGAACCCAGGGACCTGCACGTGCAAGGCAAGCGCTCTACCGCTGAGCCACAATCCCAGTACCCCACCCTCCCCTGCGGCCCCTCTTCCTTCTAATTTCTGTTTAGTAAACATCCCACTTATGTATCCATTCTTATATCAGTGGACATTTAGGTAATTTCTAGCTGGGGTTAATGCCAATCATGCTGCCATGGTGAACATATGGCACTCTGCAGGGTGACTGCCCAAGAGTGGAAGGCTGAGTCACGAGGCAAACGTATGTTCAGCTTCTGCAGTCGCTAACAAACAGTGCTCCAAAGTGGAGGTTCACACGCTCCCCAGCAGTTCTGGTGGCTAAGCATCTCCACTAGCTCTATTCATTTCCTAGGGTCGCCATAACCAGTTACCACAAACTAGGGTACTTAAAACAATAGAAATTGATTCTGCTGCAGTCGGGAAGCAAGATGTCTAAAATTAGGGTGTTGGCATGCTCTGCTCCCTCTGGAGGCTGACGGGAAGGATCCCTCCTTGCTCCTTGTAAACACCCAGCATCTGGTGTTTACAGCACTGGCCAGGACCCCTGGTGCATACAGTACCACACAGAAATGGTGACAGCAGGAACCTTTTGTCTCATTCCCTGTCTCAGGAAGAAGGCACTTCCCATGTCACAGTCATTATAGTATTTGTGGTAAGGTTTTTAAGAATGCTCTTTCAGAGTAAGAAAATTCCCTTCTGGGCCTAGTTTGCTAAGAATTTTCGACACAGGGCTGGGGATGTAGTAGCTCAGTGGTACAGTACTTGGAGGCCCTGGGTTCCATCCTTAGCACCACAAAAAAAATTTTTTCATGAATGGATATTTACTTTTAGAATAATGTTTTTTTCTGCTTCTTTTGAAATGATCCCTGAGGGTTTTTCCCCCATCTGTGATGTGGTAAATTACACTCACTGATTTTCAAATATTAAGCCAACTTTGCATTCCTGAAATAAACTCAATATGAATGTGATATACTATTCTTTGTATTGACAGCTCAATTTGATGGCCAATTTCTTTCCATTCTGGTAATGTCCTTTGGGGACTGAGTAGGAACTGAACAACTAATTATTCACTGCTTTTGGGTATGTGGTAAAACACATATAACATAAAGTCAAACATTTTGATCACTTCAAAGTGCATGATTCAGTGATAAGCAGCACAGTCCCAGTTTTGTGCAGTCATCGCTCCAGCTTACTGCAGAGCTTTTCATCACCCAAAAGGAAACCTCACCTCCATTGAGCAGCTACTTCCCAAACCCATTTCCCATTCCTCTTTGCCTCTGGAAACTACTAACCTACTTTCTATCTCAACTGACTTGACTATTCTAGAAATCTAGAGAGAATGGAATCATACATTCTGTGGTCCTTTGTATCTGGTTTCTTTCACTTAGCACGTTTTCATAGCACGTATCCTACACCTGAATGTGACAGAACACGTGTTTGTCCACTCGTGGGGTGATGGATACTAGGGTTGTTTCTACCTGTCAGTTATCATGACTAGTGCTCCTGCTAACATTCATGTACAAGAACTGCTCAGTTTTAGTGTCCTTGATTCAGGCCTTCTTTGTCACAAATAACAGCAATGTATAGGAAGTGAGGGTCAGGACACCAAGATCTGGAAGCAATACTTTATGAGTGGCACCACAGCCCAGAGGGATAATTCCCAAGTCTGAGCCCAAGCACAGCAGGGCTTTTACTTTTATACATCGGTAAGTTTGGGGCACATCAAGGCAAGGGGGTTGGTGCAGTTCTATTCTATTGGAGGTGTATCCTACATTCCTTATATGAGTACAAGCTTGTCAACAGCCCAGGGACTCAGCCCACAAAGCTTAGGGACTTCTACTGCACTAACCCTAAAGAGGGATTGTTCTTTCCCCGTTGCTCTGTTTCCTGCTTCTGCTACTGCAGTTATCTTTTACAGGTACCTGTTAGCAACTGCAAGGTTCTATGGTTAAATGTCAGTAAGCAGAGCTGCTGTGTGTCGGCATGCAGAACCACAACCTTCAGCTCTACAACTTCTAAAGCCTCCATGTTGCTCTATCACTGCAATTACGGCAACTTATCTTGGAGGATAACAAACAGATCTGCCAGTAGAGTATCTGGAAGCCCAGGAAAGAGTGGGGATGAGCCAACAGATATTTACTGTTCACTGTGTGCTAAGCACTGTCCTAGGCATCAGGGACTTGTAAACTGACAGGATCCGGTTTTCATATGAAAGAACAGTAATTAGGTAAACATAAATTATAAATATAATTTTATAAGTTAGTAAAATTAAAGAATCTGCAACCCCAGGCATTGTCGCTGCTGACGGGTATGGCAATTTCACTTTTCAGAGACCCCCAATGGACTTCGCAGACCTGACCAAGCTGCCCCTGTCTCTGCACGACCCACCCCCCATTCCTGGACAACCAGAGGAGATGCAGCCACTTCGTGAGGAGGCGACTCCTAAATCCAGGGACAGGCCGAGCTGGTGCCAGTGCGGAAGCTGCCTCCCGTCTCAGCTCCCTGAGAGTCGCAGGTGCCTAGAGGAGCTGTGCTGCCGCAGGAAGCCGGGGGCCTGCATCACCACCTCTCAGCTGTTCAGGAAACTGGTGCTGTCCAGACACGCTCTGCAACTCCTCCTGCTCTACCAGGAGCCCCTGCTGGCCCTGGAGGCGGAGGCCACCAATGATCGATTGCGGCACTGTGCCTACAGGTGCTACACCACCTGGCGCTTTGGCTCCCAGGATGTGGCCGACTTCGCCATCCTGCCTAGCTGCTGCCGCTGGCGGATCCGAAAAGAATTCCCCAAGAGTGAAGGGCCGTATAGTGGCTTCAGGAGTCCTTACTGACAGCCCAAGGCTGCAGCAGTCACATTAATATCACTGCTGCTAACACCTAGAGCGTCACTGCAAAGATCTGTGGCCAAATTTTCAGCCAGAGGGAAATGTGCCTTCCTCTCCCACTGCTCTGCATGCTCTACCAACCAACCCACCAACCTCCGCCTGGCCCCAAAGACCAGTGATTCAGATCTAAGTCTCCATTCTGTCTCTAGGAAGTTGTGTGACACCAGTAGACCTTTAACATTTGTATTTCAGTCACCTTGTCACCCAACCTACTATCTTAGAGCTACTGTGAGGACAGACTGAAACGGTGTACGGGGACTGTTGTGAGTGTGTAGAGAGCTCTGCGAACACAGAGCACCTCATCATGAGGTTGGATGGGAATAATATCCAACTAGCAATAAACCCTTGGGGTCCTAAGTGGAGGACCCAGCCAGGATTAAAGGTGCCCACAAACTGTCTGACACTTACCCCTCGAGATCCAAGCTTTCTGTCTCCTTTCCTTGAGTCTAGGAAGCTCTGGGGGCTTTATCAAATAGTGGACATGATGCTGTGTCAATTTCAAGATGTCAGTCTTAAAAGAATATGGCAGCTTCCACTTCCTGTCCCTTGGAACTCTTGCTGAGGGGAAAGCCAGCCCCATATGGAATCTGACTGTCCTAAGAACACTCTGCTGGAAGCCCAAGCAGCCGCATGGGGGAGGAAAGTGTCCCCAGCTCATGCCACACAAGCCCAGTCGCCAGGCCTGGGTGAGAAGCAGCCTTCAGGTGATTCCAGACCCTACAGACCTGTGCCTGAAACTGCATGAAACCCCCATGTGAGAAGTGCCCAGTCAACCCAGAGAACCAAGCTGCTGTGTTAAGTCACTAAATTTTTAGGTTGTTTGTTACACAGCCACAGATACCTGGGRACACAGCCACAGTCCACACCTTCCCTGGTTCCGAGGTTCATAGGGAGCCCCTTGGGAGTATAGGTCTGTGTTGGACAGTTCTAAGAAGGCTGCAGACCAAATCAGGCAACACACCAGCCCAGCCCGGGAAGCCATCAAATCCAGCTGTGTGCTACCCAACACAATGGTCCTATCACTGGAAAAAGCTGCCTTTGTGCCTTAACATCCTAGACTCTGCAACCAGTCAGAATGAGTGCAGCCGGGATGCTGCTTTCAAAGCAACCCACGCCCTAAACGTCACCAGTTCTATACATCAACCACCAAGGATATGAAGACAAATAGTCACAGGTTTGGGGCCTGTCTCAGGATTTCCTTTCCATGGTTTTGTCATGACCATTGGCTATTTATTTCTAAACAACTATTTCAAAGAATTGTTTAGAAACCACTATGAATAGCATTGAAATACTATGACTGGTGATCTGTGAGTGCTTTTATACTCCAAGACTTTACATTTTGATATTTTTTGAAAAACCAGCAGCTTTCTACTGTATTAATGCAAAATAGCATAAATAAAAACTTTTTTTGAACCAGGGCTTTATCTGGCTTTAAACTCAGGAATCAAATTAATTGTGCCAGATTGAATTTTCCTTTTTGCTACCTTTTCAGGGATATTTTTTTAAAGTTAATTATATATAACTTCATACTTTTTTTTTTTAATGATGGGGATTTGCACATACTAGGCAAACACTCTGTCACTGAGCTAAACCCCAGCCCAAGAACTGAAATGTTTTACTCCAAGAATTCTATGTAAGAATTCTATGTAACAACTGCAGGTTTCCATTCTGATGGCCTTTGACTCTTTCTACCTTATTTTTGGTGCCTTCTTCGTGGTGTGTTTCTATCACTTTGCTGAGGCCCCAGATGGAGCCATAATTTGGAATAGCAAATAATCACTGGATCCTTCTGTTTTCCTTCATCTTCCCCACGGATGCTCTGGGTGCAACATGATGTGCTACTGGACTGTGAAATGTCTGAACTTCCTACAGTACCTGGGATCATATTAGTATTTTTATTTTTAGTCTACTACATACAATATTGTTGCCAAAGGCAACCGAGCGCACATTGGGTAGGCATTAATTTGCCTTAAGTGGGGGGCATTCTTCTATTATGGTACACGCACAGCCTTCACCACTTCCCACTTCATCCTGTGTCAGAGGGAGGAGGTCTGCTTTCCTACTGTGGACATGCTGACTTTATATAGAACTGATAATGGCTGGGCTTTACTCTCTTAAGGGACTCATTTTTAAACCCTTCCAAATTCTAGATTGGCAATGCAGATATTCTTGATTGTTTTGATAATTCAAAAAAAATGATGGATAACTTATTTATTTAAACCTTCTCTTTCTGTTTTTTTCCTTCAGAATATCCCCAAATCAGAGTTAACACATTCATTTTCACATTCACTTAATAAAATATTCATAAAAATGTCACTGGAGACCAATGACAGATAAGACTGCTACTCTTATGGGAATATAAAAAGATGGACATGAATAAAATGATTCAAGCAAATGCAAATTTGCAATTTGTGATGAGTTATGATGAAGAAGGCAAATGATCATTTCAGAGTCTGTAAGAGAAGACTCTAATGTATTTGGGGAGATCATAAAAATCCTTCTTGAGGAAAGAACAAAGTTTAGCTAAAAGCTGACATAAGTACTATTAACTAGGTGAATGGGAGGGAGCATTTTAGGTAGAAAGACTGGCACATGCAAAGGTCCCAGGGCAGAAAAGGCATAGCAGGTTTGCTGCATTTGAAGAAGACCTATATGACTGTACCCTAAATAGTACAGCATGAAACAAGGACTTGTAGGCTATGGTAGAGTTGACTGTATCCAAGGGACAGCCATGAAGGGTTTTAAGCAGGAGCCTGATAAAATCATATTTAATTTTTAAAAGAACTCAGATTGCTATGTGGGAAAGAAACTAGGAGTGGTGATAGATCTGGTTTAAACATTCATTTCAGCCTTTCCCATTTCATGAAATGGGTTGCCCCAATACGCAGCCAAATGGACTGATTGTCTTTTTTCTCTTCCTCTTGGCAAGTCACGAAAAGATCAACAGTGAGAGAAAAGGAGGAAAAGCTTTGGGGAACCTTAATCTTTAGAATATTCCTGTCCCAGCTGGTGGGGATGAGGTCACTTGCTGAGCTTCAGGCCAGAAGCAGGAGTGGACCAAATGGAGATTCCAAGGTCAGTCAGCAGAACCAATGAGGTGTTCCACCTTGTGGCAGAAGACCTAAAATTAAGGTCTCATGTTACACAGTGCCTCGGCACCCAGGAGAACCAGGAGGCCTTAGCAAGTCCTCACACAACTCCTCTCCCCAGTCCTCCCTCGGAAAAGGTCACCTACTCGGCAGCCTGCCTCATCAAGCAGACCAGATGCAGCGCCTGCTTCTCCCATGGAACTGTCCCAGCGAACCAATCACATCCTCCTGTGGTGACATCCTGGTGTCACAAAGCCTGCTTCCCACTGGCTCTGCTCGCTCACTCTATTCCCAAGTACTCCTGCAGGCACGTGTGTCCTCTGAGCTGTGAGTGTGCCCGACTAATAAATGGCTGCCATCTACCTGTCCAGCATCGGGCGTTGTTTGCTCGGCTCCCCCAAAACCCCAGGGWGGGTCCCTCCTCCTCCTCACCAGTGGGGTGAGAAGAGTGATTAAAACATCCTTGAGTCCAGGCCAACCAGGAGCCCTCAAAAATCAGAGGCTGGGCCTGCCTCTGCCCAGGCACTGACAGCACACTCCTCTCTTCTGAATGGACTTGGAAACCACTCTCCTCTTGCCCCTTTGGTCTCCTATTTCTCAGTCCCAGAGGGTTATGAATCACGTTTCCTAATAAGTGAGAATCCACAGGGAGGATTCTGCCTTCCTAACATCCTGGGCTCTTTTAATGAATTATCAAGGTCTCGCGAGCCTGAGTCTACCTGCATCAGAGGAAGAGAGGAGGTGGCCGACAAGGTGACTTGCCATTTTAACCAAGTAAACTGTTTCACTGGACCAGCTTGGATAAGGGTCAATGCAAACTGACAGGGCCTGATGACAGCCTGTTAGTGTGGGGTCACAGGGGTTGACATTTTATTTCCTCCAGCAAATGAGAAGCTCCCAATGGCCAAGAACTCATCTTGATTTTGTGTCCCCTATATACCTATGTGAACACACAAGTACAGTGGACACTGGACACAGGCCTCCTGGCTCAAGTCCTGGCTTGGCCACCTAGCATGGAGCCTCGGGTGGCTCATCATGTCTAACTATGTGAGCGTTTATTATCTAGATGGTGCCCAAAGGCCACTAGGGAGCTGCAGACTCATACATCTGGCCAGCTCTGGATATTCTACTCAAATAGTTTAGAGGAATCTCGAACAGGCAGGAGAGAGAAAGCACGGTATCTGCTCCTTCACCCCACCCTCGTATGCGTGTCCAGAACTTGCAAGTCGCAGTTAGTAGTACAATTGCCATTGGCTCAATTTCCAACCAGAAATGCAGAGCACAGCACCGCCATCCCCCTCCTCCTCCCCATTCCATCAATATTATCAGTTCCTTCAGCAAACACTGACTGACACCCTGGCCCTGGGCAGTGCTAAGGATAAAGAGGAGAGCAAGCCAGGCCCTCCCTCGCCTAGTGGGGCAGACAGCAATCCATGCGTAAGGAAGTGGGGTGAGGATGGCCAGAGACCAAGAATTTCACGGAATGAGCAGTGCATGACAGGAACGATGGAGTTACCTGGTTCAGGGTCAGGGACACTTTCCAAGGAAGGGACCTTTATGCTAGATGTGAATATCAGGAAGGAGCCTGCTGTGACAAACTGGAGGAAGGGCATTCTGGACAAAGGGACAGAAAAGGCGAAGTGGGAAAGAAATGAGTGTGCCCCAGGAACAGTGAGATGCCAGAGTGCCTGCATGTTTAAGACATGGTCCCTGCCTTCTAAGTCCCGCTGAGGGCAYGGGCATGGTGATCTTCTTACTGCCTTGTAGACTACATGATTCCCTGTCACCAAAACAGAAGCTCAAAGAAAGGTGAAATCCACACAGTCAAGCATGATCTCGGCAGCTCTGGAAAGCCTG